ATGGAGAGAAAACATTCTCTCAGGCTTTCACAGAGAGCACATTAGCCAAGCAATGGCCGTGACTCATGCACATGGCTGACACTGACAAAGGTTCTACAATCTGAAGTACAGGATCTCAGGATAAATCCTGAGGGGATTTCACTGACCTTATCAGACTCAAAAGCCCCAACTCTTGTTGCATTGGTCCTGCTTTACCTTGATCTTAATCATCCAGCAGAAAAGTATAAAAATGAAATATAAGAAGTAAAGCCATGCTGTTATGTTGAGCTGTAGGGGACGCAGGTCAACAATTTCTGACATTGCCAGTGAAGCGGAAGATGCAATACTATTATGGGCTACTAGACTCTTTTAGAATATTTTACTGAGTTTACACACCTATAATATTCAAATAACAGAACTTAACAAAAAATGGGGATACAGATAAATGTCGATTTTGTATCTGTGTATTCAAAGTGGTTAGGATAGATATATAGTTACATTCTCTTAATGAATAGCGTGTTTTGTTCTAATGGTATTTGTAAATAGAATATCATATCCACATCTTGTACAGCAATTAACCACTAGGAAGAGAGTGTGCAATGTGTTATTTATTGAAACTGTCCTACCAATTTGATTTGAAACTCTCTCACTGCTACTTGTTTCTCAGTAAAATTATGAAAAAAGTGTATTCCTAGACTTAGGATAATTGTGTTATATATTTGACTTAGGATAATTGTGTTATATATTTTATACTTTCTTTGACTGCTGGTCTGATTTTTAATCTGTATATATGATAATTAACTTGATAATGTCTTATATGATAGATGATGAATCTAATGATATGATAGATAAATGAATAGATAAATGAATCTAATGCTGGAAAAATAAAAGAGGATGAATGGAGAGAGGAAAAGAATTGGAATATGTTATGTACATATATGTGATATGTACATATACCAACCTCCTACAGTGAATGTATTCATTTCATACTGGAAACGTGTCTTTTAAAATTGTTTTTAAGCTTTCATGTATTTGTTTATTGTGAGGTCTCACTATGCAGCTCAAACTCATGGTGATCCTCCTGCTTTCAGCCTCCCCAGTGCTGGGATTACAGCCATGCAAGACCACGCCCAAACTTTGGCAGCATGTGGTGCTGGGGATTGAGCTTTGTTCCCTGTGCTTGCCTGCGCTTGCCTATACAGATGCTGTAGTCCATTGAGTTATCTCCCTGACCCCTAATATATTTTTTTTAATGATCACACACTACTGTAGGTTTATTTTCTAACAAAAAATATAGAGAGCAAGGTTTATGAGAGACCAGAGCACATACCATATATAATCGCTTTGAGTGCATAATAAAGTAATGAAGATCATCTTTAATATAGCTAAATATAATTAGACAAATAGATAACAATTCTTACTGACTGATGTAGATCACAGTATTAGATATTATGCCACCACTATGTTAAGATTGAACAGATACATCAACAGAGAAAGCTGGGATTTAGGATTTGGCTAACACAAGTACTTGAGTATTTGAATTAGACCTGTCTGGACAGTTGTTGAGAGATGGTTGTGCTTATTTGTATTAAGCAGATATTCTTTAGCTATGTGATACATTTCTGTGTAAACCAGGCCGGCGCCAAGTAAAATTCAGGCAGCTGTTCATCAGGAATTTCTAAATTAACTTCAGTAATTTTCCAGTAAGTTTTCCTTGTGTTTTTAGCCAAACTACATACTTATGGTTTGTGTCCGGATGTTCTGCAAAGCCTCATGCAGTCACAAAGGTAGGCTTGCTCATGAGGCAGCTGATTCTGGAGTCTGTGACTGATTCATTGTCTAGTGCTGGGATGGTGGGTGTGAGTGCTGCACCCACTGAAGGGCTGGGAGCCTAGTACAATATAAGGGAGGAAAAGAAGCTCGCTCCTCCCTTTTGCTCTTGGAGCTCTTGTGGTCTTCAGCTGCCTTGAACTGTTGGCCCTGCATCATGCCACCTTGCCTTGGAGCCAGATGATTATGGGTGGCCAACTCTGCAAACTGTGAGCTAAATAAACATTTCCTTGTTTATAACAGGTATGAAATATTTTGTCTTAACAAGAAAACAGTTTTAATTAACATTTATTTTCAAACTGCTGACATCGTAAAGGACAAATGCCCACATTTTGAGCCAAAATGGTACCAGTAGCTCCTTTCCATTAACTACTCATATTTTCAAAGGAGATAGTAAGAGAAGTTTTTCTACAAGCCTAGGTTATGTGAGCGTCACTTTTAGTGTCCTAACTGATAGTAACATGGATTTTAGAGGACAATATTAATGTTAAGTGCTTATGGCATGGTTTCTCATTTGTATTTTTAATATCAGCAAATCAAAATAACACATCAGATGACTTATTGTTCAAGTCAAGTACAGCCTGAGATCCAGGATTGCAAAGGTTTGCTTGTGTTGGTCGGCTCCATCCTCAACACTTGGCCCAGTGACCAACAGAGTTTGCACTCAAAAAGGGGTTCAATCAATGAATTAATGAACAAATCAGCTTTTGAATAATTATCTTAATAACTACCAATTACAGCATAATTACTATTATTATCTAAAAACACACATTGTTGATAAATTTCTATAAATAGGCACTAATATCTCAAGGTTATTAACGATGTCACAAGGAAAAAAATCACAAGGCATCAAATAGTTTGCCAATTCTATGTATGACCAGCAACTCAAAATCAACTGGATCCTGCATGCTATATTTGAACCACTGTACTATACATTCTCCCTACTAAGAATTAATCCATTACTGTTACCTACTATCCAGCCTATCAATCTTAACATTTCACAGGCTTTATTCTCAGATATCATTTCTCATGTCCAGTTCCTGCTGGTAAACAATATCATGTCAGTGGACATCAAACTTAAATTCCATATCCACTGATTCAAACCCAATAAAAGGAAAAACAATCTGGTCTAAGTAAAAAGACACCAAGTCCTACATATTTAATCTAGAACTTTTCTATGATGCTATATTTTTCTTTATTCACCAAATCTATAGTCTTTTTAATTCTACCTCCTAAAACACTTTAATATTATTCAACTTCTCTCCATCTTAACTAGTACCATTAGTACTAGAGAAGCCTGCAATGAATCCTCAAGTTTCCTTCCAGGTGTTATGGCACATGGCAAAAAGAAAGAGCAAGAGACAAACAGCAGAGCAATGGGGATTTGTGTGGGCCACAAAGCAGTCAGAACCTCAGTATCAATCACATTCCCCTGAGAAAAAATGGTGAAAGGATTATAGTGGGATGTGCTTGATTAGTGACTATGAAGCCAAGGCTTATAAAAGAGTGAACAAATCATTCTTGCGAAAGGAACAGAACATCCACATTCAGATTACCATAGTGAACAAGTAACCTATTTTGTGAGCAATACTGGGAAGAAGTTTTCTCTGAACTCAGACACTCTTGAGCAGAGGCCTGCTATGTTAGCCATCCCCCGCCCCCCCCCCCCCCCGTCTCATGACTCACTTATCTGGGCTAAGCCATGGTCCTTGGCAATGCTAACCCCATATGCCACCTTTTTTTTTCCATGAAGACACCTACAGATCCTGAGACAGGCTCGCTATGGAAAAGGAAAGCCAATTCAGGGAAGTTGCCTCTATGCAGCCTGCATTGCTTGCAAACAACCACAGTCACATTTGGACCTAGGGGAAAGTGACATTACTGTCCTCCACAGTTCTTCCTTCTCTTTTTGGAAGGTGAAGCAACTGAGGAGTGTCAGACCTGGTTGCATGGCATCTAGATGTCACTTGGCTGGAAGCCCTCTATGCATGGTTGAAGAAGAGAAAAAAGAAGAGAACATGAAGAAGAAGAAGAAGAAGAAGAAGAAGAAGAAGAAGAAGAAGAAGAAGAAGAAGAAGAAGAAGAAGAAGAA